CACAAACAAGCCAGGGAAGTACAGCCTTGATGTAATCTGGGAAGTGGAGGGCACCATCCTCTGAAACAATATAGAGAGTTAGCAGCAGTTTGCAATAAAACTGAGGGGGTACCCCAGCTGAAGTCATGCAGAGCCAATCATCAATGAAACTTCATTTGACAGCTTCATTATCTGCTTGGATGAAGAAGTAACCAGGATTTCTATAATTCACAGTTGACTTCAGGGGAAGGCAAACACTCTGAAGGGCAAGATTCAAAACCATCTCGCTTTGGAGGAACTAACAAAATGAAAATAACTACACTTAGGAAGGTGTAATCAAATACAGAGATGGTAAGTGTGCTTCCCATGGAATAAATGCCTGGATACTTTCAGGGGTTGACAGCAACCATGCAATTAGTGCAAATAAGGCAGTGCTGCTGTGAAAGGAACTACTGAAGGTATCACACTGCAGCAGAGCAGAGGGGAGAACACTCAACCTGCATTCCCTACACCTGGGCAGCCACATCAGCCCAGGGCCACCTCATAAGGCACTCAGGTTCTTGGAATTCAGAGGAGTATTTTCCTTTCCTCTGTAGACTTTGAAGCAAAGGGTGGCTCTGCAAAACTGACTCTTTGACAAATGAGTTCAGTTCAAGGAAGAAGATTTAAAATTGGTAAAAGGTAAGCAATAAAGAAATGTACTGTGAAGGAAGTTTATGTTAGGCAAGGAGGAAAGAGGTAATAGCTTTGGGAGTAAGTAGAAGTGGTGGCCTCCTAGGACTGGATGCTTTCAAAACTGCTATTTACATGGATTATTTGTGACAGAATATCTCTGTAATATAGGGAGAATAATTATTCTGCTCTACTTGGTGCTGATGAATCCTCCAGCTAAAATATTGTCTGGTCTCTGGCAATAAACTGTAAAGTACACAAATGGGAGAGATTCCAGAGGATTGCAAGAGGACTAAAAGATTTAATCTATAAGAGAGGCTGAATAGCTATCCTTATCCCTTTTAAAGAGAGAGGACTAGGAGCAAGGAGTGCAAGTATCTCAAAATGTCCACAGGGAGCTGTGACTAAGACTGGAATGTGTTGATTACACATACTGAAGACTTACATTAGACACCAGGGAAACCAAGCTTGAAAGAATAACTAAGCACTCAGGTGGCATATCTAGAAAAAACCAGCATTCCTGCTGTTGGAGAGTTCTGAGTGCATCAGGTGAAAATCAGCTGGGCAGTCATCCAGTTGTACTTGCTCAACCCTAATGCAAAGGAATAATACTGATGTTCCTCCCAGCTCTACACATCTGTGTAGTCTAAAGCTTAACTTATTTCACATTACACAAGATAGTAACACTCAAACAGTTCTTAAGAAAATTCTGCTGTCCAACAGTCACCCTAAAGAAACTAAGTAAATAACTCAGATGTTGATTCAGTGTAAGTAAGAGACCTTGCCTAAAAACCCAGGTGAGGTGACAAAACTGAAGGAAAGCCACTCATGAACCCAAAGACCCAGTCAGAAGTGGCTGTTTTCTTCTCCCAGTCTGTACTCCTGAGTTTCTCCTCTGAGGGAAGATTAGAGGAGTCAGTCCTGTGTGCTGACACTGCTCTCACAAACTGGGCCCCACAATCTGAGGGAGTCAGAGATGGAAATGTGGTCAGATTGCAAACTATATTAAAGAAAAACCTTCCCATTAATCTTCCTAAATGTGATGATTGGAAAATAAGATGTTTGGAATAACTCAAAGCACAGTGATTTGAAAAGGATTTAAGACAGTTAGCAATTCTACCAAACTTATTTCTGCACTGAAAATGTTGTTTAAATGTAAGTTAAAGTTAAAACCTACTTCCCCCAGAAGATTTTTTTCATCCTAAAACTAAAAGCCTAAATTTTCAAAGCAAGGCTAAAACAAACTTAGCAAATATGTTGCATAGGAGACCAGACTAAAGGATTAAATCCGGTACAAAATTGTCCAAGGCCAAGAATTCTTATGTTTGAGCAACACTCTCTTTACTCATCAGTAAAAAAATAAGCATTAGACAAGAGGCCTGAAAGAGCAACAAGCTGCTTTTCACAAAGCACAACATTCAGCTGTGAAATGAGGCCTTTCTGAACAGCAAGCCTACTTATTGTCAAAAAGTATGAGAGGTACAGAGAGGTGAGTGTGACCACTGATGGTTATTTAGCACTGTGGCTCTGAAATACAGCCTGGCTCAGGAAGTTTCTAAATCCTGTGTGCTCTAGAATATGATGCTACAAAAAAGGGTTCTTCATTCATGCTGTTACAGATTCTGCTGTAAACTACAAGTAATGGCCTTTCCTCCTGAAAATCTATACATCTCATTTTGCAAAGCTACTGAAGTTTTTTTACAGATTTTTGAACTGTATTAAGTCATTCCAGCAACCTTGACCATCTTCACCAGCTTCCAAAGTCCATGCCCAGTTTTTTGGGTTTTTTTTTTTTCCCTCTGTCAAATAGTCTCCTTGAATTCCAAGCCAAATCACTGAAAAGCCACCACTCAGTCTGTCTAGTGTGCTTTATTTGGCTCTGAAACAGGTATCAAAAACAATTTTATGAATCTTTTTGCCTGTCAGAGAAAGTATCTGACGCAGTAATTTACTTTGTGCCAAAGCCTTTTTGAAAACCACAGCTTTGACCTGATCTTATAAATCACCCATATTCATCTCCAGAGAACTTAAGACAAGACTGTGACTTTTCTAAAACCAGAAGACCAAACTTAGGATGTCGTTTGCAGACAATAATATTTTTTAAAGCCACAAACATCTGAATTTCTTGTCAACTGTTTGGGTACTTAATTTCAAGAAAAAGAAAATTTACAGATAGCAATCAGCTAAATCTGAACTAGTTTCCAGCAATGTGAGAGTGTGTGCCCAGTGTTCCTTTCAACAGAGCACATCCTTTAGCAGCAAATGTGATATCTATAACTCATTTCACTGTTTTTCAGTAAACTGCAGTCACCTTTGCTTCTAACAAATTTGTCTTACAAATTTGAACTTACTGCTCCAAATAAGTACAAAAAGATGAAAAGAGATATTTCTATTGAATATCATCAATTTTTGATGAACTACAGGAGAACAGACAAGAAGGTGCTGAGAACAAGCTCCACAGCCCCATCTGTTGGCCAATGAAGCTCCCAAAGCCATCTACCAGCCCCTAGCCAATAATGAAGCAGAACCAGTTAATTTTTTGGGTAAAATCCAGGTTTCACTATCACAGATCTATGGCATCTGTACACCAATAGCAACCTTTACTATACAAGCATATAGTAATTGAGTTTCTAACACACTTCTTTAGTGGAAATAAGTAAAAAGTGATTTTTTTACTTATTTCCACTAAATTAGGCTGCATACTTTCTGAGTTAAAATCTAATTCCCTACCCTGAAGTGAAGATGCTACTTCTAGGATATGATAAGCAAATTAAGTTATGATTCAGACCCTAATGGCAGTTAAATTGTGTCACAGTCCCACTGAAATTTGGGTATCCTGCACTAAAATTTGGTTTATCCTGCACTAAAATACAGTTTCAGGCTAACTGCTGTCTTTTAAAAGCTTGTCAGAGGAAAGAGAATTCATAAAGAATCTTAGTAATGCAGGATCATCTGACTCCATTATGTTCTTTTCAGTCCAAAAATACATTTTCCTTTCAAAGGACAAAATTCTATTCCGGCTCAGGCCACAGTCATAGCAAGCCATCTGCAGGACCTTTTAAAAGATATTGGCTGCTGGGCAGTTTTGCTCATTCATAGCTTTCCATCCTATTATCCAAAAGTCCATAAAATAAATGGACTCCCTATCTCTTATCCACAAACCTTCAGGACTGCTCTGGTCAATAAAGCAGTTTTTCTGCAGGAAGGGCTACAGAACAAGTTCCTTTTATGCTGGAAACAATGGATGTATGCTAGGCTGGGGGCAATGGCTCTCTAGCTGAGATCTTTGGGACTTGGTGGCAAAGAAGCAAAGGGCAAGAGAGCTGCTGTGTGTTTAGATCAAAAGCTGAGAAGAGCAAAACAGACCAATGAAATGTGTAAGGAAAGATGAAAAGAGTCATGACAGGTCATGGATCACGTAGTGTTCCACTTCTCATATTTATTTTTGACAAACTTTGTTTAAATAGATTCTACACCCATATCATAGGGACATGCCAGAGAACAATACAAATCTAAGCAGTGACACGGCAGACAGGCTTCATCGTTAAACTCAGTGTTAAAAATAACTGAAGATTATTTTAATCCACTCTCTGATGTGCTGCAAATATATCCTACAGATGTGAAACTCACTAGAACAGTATTTTAGGATGTAAAAAAAGCATGGCATTGCTCTTTTAACTACTTATGGTGCTTACAGAATTGCTGTAAAATATGGTACAGACAGCAATTGCTGAAAAAATTATTAATGCTGAGCAGTGTTAATTTTTTAATAAATAATTATTAACACTGCTAGTATAACTAGCAATATGATGGAGTGTTCTCTGTGATGCTTTAGTAATAAGGTGCAGCCCTGTGTGGAATCAGTATCCCACAAATTATTATTTAAAAGTACTACAGAGGTGAGAAAGTAAATGCATTTTCAGATTATCTGCTGGAAAAATATAGAACTCATGAATGTCTGTTAAGGTGTAGCTTAGAATTCTCAATTTCTCAAAGAGCTGCTCTTTAAACGTATTTTTATATAATTCTGTTTTTAATACACTTAGAATGGAGAACTGTTCTCAGATTTTTGTATAGAGTATGAACTCCCCCTGGGTATTCTGAGAACCTGTGTGAGGGGATCCTGCTCCTTTCCCAGATGAAGCACTTGCACTAGCTACCAAGGAACAGCAGAGGTCCTACAAGGGCAGCACAGTACCCAGACAAGCAAGAGACAAAGGTTCAGATTATGATGTTTGTTCCTCAATCCACAGGTTGGAAATGCCTTGTGTGTGCTTCATTCAACTCAGACACAACATGAGATGACTTTAAAACAATCGATCAGGTATCAGGTAAGGTCCTTAACTTACCCCTCCCATTGTAATGCCATCAATTAGTGCCACGTATGGCTTCTTGCAGGTGCCTGTAAAAAATGTCAAGGAAAACAATCACCCATCTTTTTCAAGAGTGGACCTTTGTGCCTAGCTGCCACATGACAGGTTTCCCTACATCTTACTTCATCAAGAGCAGCAGAAAATAAATGGGAATTTAAGCAGTAATCATATTATCTTACAATGAAGGTAGCTACTGTAATTCTTAAGTAATGAAAAGAAAGAGCAGTTTCTGATTTAGTGGATTGTGAGTGTTGTAAGAGAACATTATACAACTATCAAACATTGGTTAGGTGAGTACCTGACAGTTCAGCCAGCACAAATAGCTCTGTCTGATGTTGGGACACAGCAGATGCCCTTTCACCCCTCACAGCCTGGATTAGGAGCAGGGGGTGTGTTCCAGCCCTTCAGTGCTTTATTACAAAGCCAGAAGGATGGGTGGGCTCAGCCACAATGTGACTGTGAATTCTGCAATGCAGGCGTGTTCTGTCAGGGAGCTCTTGCACACAGCCCTGAACATGGTGCAGGCAGGTTCAGTGACAATGTCCTGAATTACAACTTCATCTCTTGGGCCCTTCAGAAGGCATAAACTAAATCCCAATGCTTTCAATTACCATTCATGGAAAGACTCAGAACTTGCCTGTGAATGAAGCAGCTGCCCTGTATTCAGTGTTTTCAGGTCAGAATTACTGCTGATACAGGTATCCCTGCAACCATGTTGTGAGGTTTTCTGTAACAACTATATAGAGCCTTGTTCTTAAAATAAACTATTTTAAAAGGCACTTCAATCCTTCAAATCAATAGTTAGAAAATGTTAAGAGAATTGTATTTGAACTTTGTTCTTACATGAACATCCAAGCTAATGCATGGGCTGTAGATGCTACTCCCTGAACCAACTTTCTACAGCAGCAAGCCTTTCCCATTGCAATGCTGTGACAGCAGCTCCCTGCTGTATTTTTAAGTTATAAAATACAAGATATAAATAAATATTTTTAGCAGAAATCTCAGGCTTAAAGAAATACAGTCATACTAAAGCTAGCAAAAATCTAGGTTTTGTAATTACATGCATTAGAGATATTAAACAGCTAATACTTAAAAAAAAAAAATATGAAAACAAACTTTTAAATTATGTAGCCTTGCAACAGAATCGTCATCAAGTTCAACTGGCAAGGTAATACTATTTTTTCCCCAACTATCTAAAACCTAAAACTATTTTTCTGCTTTGTATTGGTGAAGGCAAGAAAGGCACATGACAAGCATGCTCAGTCCTGAAACTCTGTCAAACAAAGCAAAAGTAACTTTTCAGGAATTATTCTATTAGCTGCGCTCTTCTGTCAATGCAAGCAACAGCACCCCTCCTCCTGTAGTGACTAAGACAGGATACCATATTTTAAAACTCAAACTGTATTCAATTAAAATATGTTTGGAGTAGTTTCTTCTCATCAAAACCTTCAACTCTTGACTTTTAGACTAAAGAATTAATATAATTTTTAATATACTTCCCCCAGTGTCTCTGCAATAAACTAAGGCAGCTCACTCCTGAGTTATGCAGCTCTAGTCTTTCATGCAGTCTATTTAAATGGAAAGCACTCATATAATTTAATCTTTTGCTTTCTGACTGAATATTAATGATTTTCCACACATCTATTTTTACCTCAGGTCTTCTTTGAAGCAGATCAATCATACTTAGGGCAGAATTGCAGTGTCTACAGCTAAAACTAATTCTCCCACAGAGGAAACAGAATTAACCAGAACAATGGGATGGGATAAAGTAGCTGTCACAATAACTCAAACAAAAGAAACACATTCTGCATGCAAGGTGTAAAAATGGGATGTGTTATATTACCGGTATTGAACTTGGAAAAAAAAAATTTACTACTTCTCTGATGTTACACAGTCTTTAACAGATTATCAAAGAGATAAATTTACATTTGAAGCCAGTGTTATGAGAACTGTACTGTTTCAGAAATTGCTGCTAACATACCAATGGCATTGTTCAGCCTGTATTCTCCTATGAAGAAATCTTGTATCAGTTTATCTCCAACTTTTCCCGCTTCTGTGATGGCTTAAGAGAAACAAAAATTCCAAAGATAACTGTAAGTTTAATAGAAAATACAAGTAAAATTGGCTCATAAATTGGGTCTCTTCCTACAGCAAAGAGAGACCTACTTAATCCTGCTTTATTATATTTGAGAAAATTTGCTGAAATTGAAATATGAACATAAGTCTCAAATTTGATCTAACTGTATTTTGCTGGACACTGTCACATACTTGTGAGAGTATGGTCCATTTTCTAACCCCTCCTAATGTCTAGTACTCAATTGTGATATTTTCACACCAACATTTAGAACAGTCACTTATAACTGACTATTCTGAAGACTCTAAATACTAAAAATGAGAAGCCAATTAGAGCACGACATAAAAATATCTTTTCATGTATTGTAATAACAATAACCTGTGCTGCTTTTTTACCTACAGTTTACAACAATTTTGATAATTTTGAGACTTTGGAGATTTCCTGCAGTACACTGCTAAAAAATAATCACAGATACATTGATCACCCTTGTCAGATCTGTATCTAGCCATCTAAAACACTAGACACAAATTATCAAATACAATCACAGCTACCTGTTAAGGCCCTTCAAATTTCTTGGAAAGAGACTGTGAGTAATGAAAATTTGGGAAGAGAAATGTAGAGACAGAATGGCTGGCTGCTATAATAATTTATTCATAAAAATGTAATTTTTACTCTTTTATGCACTGTCCTGATAGTTGTCTCATGACAAATATCTTGAATAGCATCTGCACATCAAGGTGTCCTAAGAGTCAGCACAACTGATCTCTTACTCTTGTGTAGCAAGATTTTGGTTACCCAAGACACAGTAAACAAAGGAAATCAACACAAAGTAGTGACTAGGAAAGACATCAAATATTTAAGCAAGGATAGTCCTTACCTCGGATGTCACCCCCAGCACAAAAAGCTTTTCCTCCAGTTCCCTTAATAATTATTAGAAAAGTTTCAGGATCTTGCTCCCATGTCTAAAAAATAAATAAATATTTCCACATAAGACTAAAATCTATGTAAATAATGCTTGCTCTGTTTAGTATCTATAACTCTTACTTCACTTTTTCAAAAAGCAAATCAAATCATACTTTAAAATAGATTACCTTCAGTCTTTAAACTGAAGTTTGAAATCTAAATGTCTTTCTGCCACTTCTGCATCCTATTCAACCCTGAGAGCAGAGAATAGCAAAGCTGCCTTTCCTATTTCAGAAAAACACCTGAGCACAGCTCTCAGCCTCTGGAGAAAGGCAGCACCCACAAAACAGGGCCTGACAGAAATCAAAAACTGACACCTTTTCAGGCTGTGCTTCAAAAATGTCTAATAAACACCAAAAGGCATCAGACAATTATCCAAAAAATACTGGTATCTAATGAATTTGACTCTGTGCATATGATAAATAGCATTATTAAATTAAAAGAGACTATTTTCATGCTTAAAATCACGTGGTACTTCACTAGCTTGTAGAAACAGGGCCTGCAAATCCATGAGTTCTCATTTAAGGAATGACACTGACAGCCCCCTGCTTCCTAGTGGCTGATATCTTATTTTCAGCCATGAAAATGGTACTGCACTCCTGAGGGAAAATGATGAGCACTGCTTGCTCTAAATTCAGTCCTGGTATTAACATGTGTGTGCATTTACCTATGAAGATGCTGAATTTAACTCTGTCTGACAGCCTGATCTTTGATGTGTCTTCTCTTTCTAACTTGCTTGACTCTGCCTGGTTTTTCCCATGCTATAAATCTGAGCTCACTGTACTCACACAAACTATCATGCTTTAAATCACTACACTAAGAAGTGTCAAAGTGCATTTTAAAACTGGTTTCAAATAGCACATGTATAGTGGATGGGTAGAAGTGGAGCTACTAACCTTTAGTTGAGGATAGATTTTTTGGATCATAGGCAGATTTAGTGCATTGAGAGCCTTGGGTCTATTTAAAGTTATTACTCCTGCACCTCCTTTCTTTTCCAACAACACTTCTGCTGCTGAGTCTGTCTGCTTAGACATTTTCTGTGCATGCAAAAACAAATAAATAAAGCAAATGTCATCAGTTAGGTAACTTGAGTACATATTTACAAAAGTGTTTATGGAAATACATTCTCAAAAAACACATTATCTAGGATCACAAAACATGCATTCTGGAATTGTATGCTAACTTTTTCCCTCTGTACTTCTATTTGCATTTCCTAAACAGTTCTTTAGAAACTACTTTGAGTCTTTCAGAGTAATAAAACTCAGGCAAGTTTTTGGACCACACATTGTTTTACAATAATATTTTGAGTTCAGTTAAATAAAATTTACAACAGAAACACACACACAAACAAAAAAAACCCAAATCAATCAAACAAAAATTTCCCCACCCTACTAATAAAACACAAATCCATGGTTCCTTAAAACTGACATTCTGAAAATAGTAGCAACAATTAGAACCATGACAGTTGCATATATCCTTACTGGTAGTTTGACACTCCAAACTCAAATGTACATCCTGCTTTGTCTTTAAGTAACTTTTAACAGTAGAAAACAAATCCCCTCAACTATTTTCACACCCACAATGGGATGATATTTAAGGAATTTACATAAGCTAACAGAGAAAAGATCTATAAATTAAAGAAATATCTATAAAGTAAAGCCAAAAAATTAAGCTTTAATTTACAGTACAGTTGTACTGTAACCAAGTGCTCAGAGATGTGGGCAATAAATTGCCTGAGCAATAAATGTCAGTGTTCAGAACCACTGTGTGCAGACACATTAGAAGTTGCATGTGCTGTGTGCCTCAGGGGAGTTAAAGAGTCCTGAAAGCTTCCAACTCAAACATGATGCTGTCCTTACCAAATGTTGAAATATTACTTGCAGCCTGTTGAGTGCCCTCAGCCTGAAAAAAAAAAAAAAAAAAAGTTAAAAAAGCAGTTAAAACCATAGACCTGCCACACAATTCCCCAAATATCTGACTGCCAGGTTAAGCAAAGCAGTGGCAGAAAAATTTGGGAACACAACTGCTTGACATTCGCCTCATAAGAATCAATTAAATTAGGGCAAAATTTTGTTATTGAAACAGTTGGAAATTCTTTGCTTACTAGTAAATAAATAGCAGATACCAATGTCAGCTACTCATGTTTTCAAGTTAGGAGAACCTGAAAAATACCAGGACAGAGGGGTTGGGGATACAATTGACAGTGTCTTTTAAAGATTGACAGCCTTTTTGCGGGCACGTTTAAACGTAACCATTAAAAAAAAAAAAAAACAAAACCAAAAACCAACAAAAACAAAAAACCTCATGTCAAAACCTTCGTCTATTTCCAAAAGCTTCAATGACACAAACCTGCCCTCGTGTGTACACATTTCACATACATTTACACAAGGTTTGCGTAAGAGCTCTTGCTTCTGTGGGTGACAGGAGAGACCCAGGCTGTCAAACTTGGTGAACGCGCCACTGGTTTTGAGCAGTAATTTATTAATTTTGAGGCTGTAATTTATTAATGACCACTGAGGAAGCAGAGCTGGAGTGCGAAACTTCACCTTTCAGCCACTTCAGCGCACAAACCCAGCCCACTCCACGTTATATGTTAGTGCCGCGGTACACTACGCTGGTTTTTAATCGCACGCTTGTTTTTGAAGGTGAAAGTTAGTGAAGGCCTGGCTGATCTAGGCCCGAACTACAGCTCGCAGCAGCTGCGGGGCTGCGATCCTCGGCCGGCTCGGCCGGCGCTCCCCTCGCTCCCCGCGGCCGCCGCTGCCGCCCCTCAGGGCGGCCCCCGTTACCTGGGCAGCGCCCGCAGCGCCCGGCCCGCCATGGCGGCACCGCTCCCTCACCGGCTCCGCCGCACGGCACAGCGCGGGGCGCATGCGCGGCGCTCTCCGGAGCACGGGGAGCGGCTCCTGAGGGGCGGCCGCCCGCTCGGCACCACGAGCGGTCCTTTTGCAGTGAGCAAGGCAGATTCCTTACCGGAGCAGGGAAAGGGAGCTGCTCCCCGTGCTGGATACGGCCGGCTGGTGTGAGGGCATCTGGAGATGCAGCTGCTTTGCCGGTGAAGCGAGCAATGCCGCGTGTGGCGGCAGTAACATCAGCCGTGGGGCTGGCTGCTCAAGGTGGGGAAAGCTCGCATTGCCAAACTGCCTTCGTGCACCGCAGCTGCATGCAGGCTGATTATTATTTCCAGCTGCAAGACTGGTTTCTTAATTTCTGCCCTCCCGGCTTCTCTTCACCCTTTGCACCTGAAGCACCAGGCACACCTGTACTGCCCCCGCAGCTGCTCACACACGGGCAGCGGGTGAGGTGGGATTAAGAATTAACATCCCACCAAGAACTGCTTATCCGTGAAGGTATATACATGGAGAACATGTATTTGCGTAAATGTAAATACATGGAGAACGTCTATTTACATTTAGAACTAGCGCGTTTACTGCCCCAATAGTAGCTACAGACGACGGTGAGCCCAAACACAGCCTGTGCATTCAGCATAAATACACTCAGAAACTGCAACTGTGAAAATTGCCTTTTTCAAAAGAAATAAAATATTAAGTCCCTTGTGAATTTTTCACTCTAGGAGTCAATAATACAAAATTCACTTAGATTCCAGTAACTAAGACCATTCTGTGACTGGTTTTTTTAGGCTGACACATGAGACTGCTATTGAAACTACAATGATGAACCATGGGGTAAATGACAATACAGTGCATTAGGCTGAAATGTAGCTTCATCTTATCTCGGTGTAACAAGTTCTTAGCATCAGCTGCCTTGACTCATATTTGAATTTAAAAGAAAGAAAAAAATCTTAGAACCTTTTAGCAATTTTTTTTCTGAAAGAAAAAAACTCCTAGCTCTCAGAAGCACTTCTAGTAAAGTCTCCAGAGGGCAACCTTGCTCTTTATTTCTAAAATGATTCAGCCCCTGCTTATATCAGCGTCATCTCTGTTGGCATTTCCGTTGCAATGACTCTCAGAGTATATTAAATCTGGTTGTAAAAAATTTAATCAAACTAAATAGGCACACACAAAAAAAAAATACAGAACATTCCTGTATTAATGCAGTCTCAGTCTTCAGTCTTGTACAATGTGAACAAAAAATAACTGGGAACAGGACATGAGGTGCTTTTCCAGGCACTGGGAGACTGTCTATGCAAACTGATTAATTGCAAGAATTCATTAGGTGATTCTGACTATTCAAACTTTCACCTACAGGTTATATGATAATCAATGATGCAGCTTATTGGTGTCATTTTGTGTGCATTACATCAAGTGCCATGCAATTAAATCTAAACCGGGCTAAATGACACCAAATTATCACAGTTGGCAAACCTGAACCCTGACTTAAATAATTATTTTTAAAATTGTTTTTGAGGATAACTCTGCAGCTATCATCCAGGCATTACTAATTAGAGGGTTTGATAAGCAGGTAACATTTTTGTTTCTCATTTCCTGTGACTGAAACTCTCTACATTTTACAGACAAATACAAAAAGAACTTTTCTGTGGGATAATCTTTTTGTTAGTGATGTTGTGAAAATGAAGAGATGGGTGTGTGGAAGCTAACCTTGGGTAAGAGCAGGTGGAGGCTGTTTGAGAGCCCTGGAAATCTCCCAATAAATTCCACCTGCACATGGGGAAGGCTGTGATCAGGAATGACTGCATGGGATATCTGCTTCTGGGGGTCCAAAACAGAAGCTGGTGATCTGATTCATCTTTTACTTAGGCTGATTTTGATCTCTTCTCCTCCTGTCCTCAGTGTAAGTAATGGTGTAAACCCTTTGTATTCTTCCAGCTGTAGGTCTGATTTAGGACACAAGTGGGCCTACTCCTTTGTAAACAATGAAGTAACAGCAAGCCTTGCCTTGAGACAACTACTGATTTCTCTCCACGGTGCTGATATTGAATTTATAGTTAATGTTTTCTTTAAAATCTTTCCTTTTTTTTTTTTAAGTAGTTTTTAAGAAGAAGGGATGGTAGCATAAGAGCCATCTTCCTTGAGGCTTCATTTTTAAACCTGCTTGAATTTGATGACTTGAATTTACCTATAGTTTTTTTAGGGGCAGAGGATTCCTAAGTGTTAGAAAATTGCCATTTTTCACAGACATTTAGCTGACTGCAATCCCGTCCAAAAAGCAACTCAGATATCATCTTATTTTTCAACAGTCCTCCTGCACACCCCATTTTTTCAGAATATCAAAGTGAAAATGCTTTCTGAAATGTAAATAAAAGACTTTTCTAAGTAGGATGTGGCAAAAGAGTGAAAATAATGGAGTTGCCTGATAATGAGCAGAATGAGATGATCTTTAACCTGGGAGTTTATGGATTATTTTACTATTGGCAAAGAGGGCTGCACAATACTGGACCAAGCCAGGAACTGAGAGTGTAAGTGCAATAGCCAGAAGGATAAGCAGGTTGTAATTCCTCCCCCTGGAGAAGTTTCCTTCAGCAGGTTTGAAAAGAGAAAACAATTTGCAGACTGTAGGACGTCTGCAGAGTTGAGCAGATGTTTTCAGGTTTTGTTTCTGGTTTGGGTGGGTTTTTCTGGGATTTTTTTGTTTCTTTTCCAGAAAAACATGTAACTTTAGCATGTGGGAGCTCTTGCTCTCAAGAAGGATTCCAGGAGCAGCTCAGCTGCATTCTGTGTGCCACCTGTTCAGCCCTAGTTAAACATTAATTTGTGCCTCACATTTGCCTCTGAGAGCTCCCAGAGTAGCTGACCAAGACCAGATAATAAATGGCACAAGTACTTCATCATGTTCCATGCTGCTGTCTCCAGGTTTGCTGTAAATCCAGTATTTTCCTCTGCTGGTCTGACAGCTGGCATCTCATTTCTGTAAGTGTGGGGACTGAGTGCATCCTTACAGCCTGTGAAGGTTAAGGGAAAACGAGTCTGTGAAGGTCTGAGGAACAGAATGGGGAAATTTCCAGTTCATGCCTGCTAACTGGTTATTACTGTGCTGACAAACAATCCTCACATTGTTATTTCTCAGGCCAGGCTCAGCTGACAGCCCTTGAAAACAAGTGACACAGGCTGAAATTTCCTCGTGCCAGCTTCGGTACATAATAGTAAAGGCTCAGGTCTGCAGTAGAGTCTTCCAGGGACATCACTGAGAGCAGAAATAGACTTGAAATAAGCAGAAAACAAATCTGTTTCTTCACTCTCAAACATCAGGCCAACCCAGAGAAGGACTGAAACACCTATGTAATATGGAGAAACAATTTTTTGCTTTTGTCTGTAACCTGAGTCATTTCATGCAAACAGCCTGCCTTCCCCAGGGCTTTTGGTCAGAGACCTTTCAGATCATGCATTCGTACATCTGCAATCATAGATTTGGGATGAGGGCATACAGCTAATGGCATGCAGTGGTGAATTACAAGAGAGTGTGTGAGGGAGGGAAAAAAAAATCAACTTTTCTTTTGCATCTTATCAGTGGGGAACTAGAAAGTGTTTGGAAAAGGCTGAAAGCAAATCCACAATGAAACCGTGTGAGCGAAATAGTTTTCCCTTTCTTTTGGCCTCGGAGAGCACCGAGGGCGGCGTGGGGGTGGCTGTGTGCTGCTGCAGATGCTGCCGTGTCGAGGAGAGGATCCAGACGAGGTCCATCCATCCATCCAGCAGTGAGTTCCTCTCCTCCCACCAGCCCGGCTCAGACACAGCACTCGTGCTGCAGCCGCCCTGCCAGAGCCCCCTGGGTGAGACGGGACCCTGGGCAAACACCCTCCCACAGCTTTCTTCCCTGCTGCCACCAGCAATCTGTCACTCCTCTCCCCGAACCACCCTCCACCTACGTGCCGAGCCATAACTGTAAGGAACGCCCTCTTCCCTCCTCCTTTTCCTCCCCACGAGCCTGTTCTCCGTGGGTGAAAAATGCTGTCTTCCCAGAGATCTGGTCACCCCCGACTTTGGCTTTGAGACCCAAGCTGTTTGATACCTTTCAGGACTACAGCTTGGAAAGCTCTGCTTGCAGGTCTATTGTGCGCGTTTTTCAATTGCATATAATTGCACATGTGCAGGTGGGAAGGGGCTATTTGCTTCCCACTCGCTTCGATACGCCTCCCTTCCTAAGAGGACGGCTTCCTTCCCTTTCTGCTCTCAGCCTCCCACGCGTTTAGCAATGAGAAATGCTGCAGAAAACTGACCAGCTACCAACCCGCCCACCTGAGGAGGAGGAGCACCAGCAGCAGCAGCACATTTCTCTCGCTCTCAGCTTTTTAAACACAGTTAAAAAGAGCTGTAGCGTGGGTGGAAATAGCTGTAGGGAGTGTGTGTGGGAATGGGGCTAGAGGAAAGTGCATTTTTTCTTGGTAGGACAGTTAACTTCTAGTGGACTAAAAAAATATCCCAAAGACATCTCACTGCTGAGGGTGTCTTTGGGTGTATAATCAGTTCTTGAGTCTCCCAGGTCTGGAAAGGATGAAGCAGGGAATGAAGCAAGTGATGGCAGGGAAGCTTGCCTTCCAGCCTTCAGGAGTCTGTTAGGAAATGAGATCTGTATTGCATCTCGTTGTGTCATCACGTCTGCTGTTCTGCTCTCAATGTGTGTGCTTGCTTCTGTGAGAGTCAGAGCTGCCTGTATGTAGGAAGAGAAAAAGGCATGTGGTTTTCACACCATGTGGGTCTGTATTTCAAAATACTGTCCCTGTTGGACCTCTTGAAATAGCGCTGTCCCAGAATATCAGTTAATTCAAGATTTACTCGGTGTGCTTCTCCACGAAATTAAAATCAAGCTTATTTGTGTTAACTGGTTGTTATTTGAGGTGCTCTGCTTGTATTACATGAAAATAGCAGTGGAACTAGTAAGGAACTGTACACTGGTATGGAGTGCACAGTGGTAGTGCTGTTTCTTAAGGAATCTCTTTGATAGACTCCAAGAGCCAAGGGT